TCCCCTGGGGCGAGAGCAGATCAGTAGCTGTTTTCTCTGGATCTCAAAGGGGGAAGCTGATGCGACATCGACCTGGTGTGGCTTGTGGAAAGACCTCCTCTTCGGTCAGATGCTGAACAGGGACCAGGACCCCAGCATCCTAGCGGCAGCTGTGCCAAATGTCACCCACACTTGTGCCCCATGCCCCCAGCACCATCTCAGGAAGAAGGAAAATATCTCATTAGGCAAACAGACTCAGCCACACCGGCCCTCAGGAGGCAGGAGGAAAGAACTGTAAAGGTTACTCCTTTGCCAGTGCCCTTTTAAATTTCCTGCTTAGAATGTTAGACTGCTCCATGGCTCCTCCTCAGCTAAAGCACTCCCCATGGGGAGCTGGGACTGCTGGGAAATATGGACCCAGGCACCCTCTGCCTTCACTTCCCCAGGTCCCAAAATAGGGTTTCCTGGGGGTGGGACTGCAAGAGTAGGAGACAGGAACCTTCTTTGCTGAAAATTAAGTACAGCCGGTGCAGTGGCTCACCCCTGTAATCCCAGCACTTTGGGAGGCCAAGACAGGTGGATCACCTGAGGTCAGGAGTTCACAACCAGCCTGGCCAACATGGTCTACTAAAAGTACAAAAATTAGTCAGCCATCGTGGGGGGCATCTGTAATCCCAGCTACTGGGGAGGCTGAGGCAGGAGAATTGCTTGAACCCGGGAGGCGGAGGTTGCAGTGAGCCGAGATCACACCACTGCACTCCAGCCTCAGTGACAGAACAAGACTCCAACTCAAAAAAAGAAAAAAGAAAATTAGGTACAGTCTATGTATTTGAAAGTGTTTTCGGAATACAGAATGCTAATTCCATAAAAGGGATTATAATTATACAAACATAAGGGACTATTACAACGATGTGATCATTGTAGCATAATATATAATACTCTAAGGCAGTGTAGCCGGCTGTGTAGTCAGACTGCCTGGTTTGGAAAGGGGCTCCATCACTCACTAGCATTGAGACCTTGGGCAAATTGCTTAACCCTCTCTGTCTCAATTTCTTCACTGAAAAATGAGTATAATAATAGTATCCATCTTGTGAGATCGCAATGGGGATAAAAGGAGATGATATGTGTAAGGCAGTTGAACAGTTTCTGACATAGTGAGCACTTAGCTAATATGCTTACTATGGCAATCTGATTGCTGGGACAGGAATAGAATTACATACATGTAAAAGGATTATGGTTGGTTGATCTTTTTTCTTGTTTTGTATGGGGAAGAAGTTTAAAGATGAGGGGATAAGAGTTTCTATTCAGCTCAATTCTGTCTCACTCCCCAAGGAAAACCTTATTCACTAGAGTGTCAGGTAGAAACCCTGCCTTTCTTTGCTGAATGACCTTGGTCTTTGTGACCCATAAGTGGAATCTTGTCTTTACCTGGAAGGCATCCATCTATTCATAATGCCCAGGAACAGCCCCTGATCCTCACCCCTGTCAATATGTCCCTGGAGTTGGGCTGAACTTCTCCAGCATGACTTCTGCATTCCAAAAATTCCATCCCTGCCATTGGTACACTGTTTCAAAAGAGAAATGAAAAACCAGGGAGAGAGGTCTGGGGCAGATATAAGAGAAAATGAGTAAATATGTGTTTGGAATTATTACCAGGTCAACATTAGGAAATCTGGTGTGTCACCCTCTACATCAATAGATTAAAGGAGAGCTATGTGTGATCATTTCAGCAAGTGCCAAAAAGCATTTGATAAAATTTAATACCCATTCTTACCTTCCTAATGGGCAGTGGAGGTGGGGAACTAAATATAGAAGAGCTAAAAATAGAAAGTAACTGTCATTATTTGCAAATGATATTATCATTTAATTGAAAGACTTAAGATAATCGATGACAATCTATTAGAACCAATAAGGGAGTTCAGCAATGTAGCCAAATACAAGATCTGCATGCAGAAATCAGCAGCTTTCCTATATTCTGGAAAAAAGGAGTTTAAAAATGTAATTTTAAAAGGAACAGGTGTGCGCAATGGCTCACGCCTATAATCCCATCACTTTGGGAGGCCAAGGCGGGCGGATTGCTTGAGGTCAGGAGTTCGAGACCCTGTCTCTACTAAAAATGCAAAAATTAGCTGGGTGTGGTAGCACTCGCCTGTAATGCTAACTACTAAGGAGGCTGAGGCAAGAGATCCTGGGAGGCAGAGGTTGTAGTGAGTCAAGATTGCACCACTGCACTCCAGCCTGGTCAACAGCAAGATTCAGTCTCAAAAAAATAAAAATAAAAAAGGAGACTATTCACAATATAGCAAAGATCATGTAATAACTGGTAATAAACTTATCAAGAAATGTTTAATACCCACGTGAGGAAAATTGTAAAATTTTACTAAAGACTGTAAAGGTGTGAATAAATGGAAAGAGATATCAGTTCCTAGGTGGGAATGTGATATTGTAAAGATGCCAGCTTTCCTCATATTAATCTATAAATTCAAAATAATCCAAATTTAAATCTTAGCAGGATTTGTCATAGAACTTCATAAGCTGATTCTAAAATCATATGTAAGATTGGGTACCTAAAAATAGCCAAGAAAAACAGCAATGGAGTGATATATGATAAAACCACAGTAATTACAACAGTGAGGTACTGGAAAATGAATGGACATAATGAAACAGAAGGGAGAGTCCAGAAACAAATTCATGTCCTTTTCTTTTTTTTCTTTTTTCCAGACAGACTCTTTGTCTGTCACCCAGGCTGGAGCACAATGACGCCATCTTGGCTCACTGTAACCTCCATCTCCCAAGTTCAAGTGATTCTCCTGCCTCAGCCTCCCGAGTAGCTGGGATTACAGGCGCCCACCACCATGCCTGGCTAATTTTTGTATTTTTAGTAGAGTTGGAGTTTCACCATGTTGGCCAGGCTGGTCTCAAACTCCTGACCTCAGGTGACCTGCCCACCTCAGCCTTCCAAAGTGCTGGGATTACAGGTGTGAGCCACCATGCCAGGCACAAATTCATGTATCTATGAGACTTTAGTTATGTTAAATTTGGCCTTTCAAATTGGAGAAGGAGGAAAAGATATTAAACCTCCTCACCCAGTTCACACACACAAAAATTCCATCTCCATGATGACCTAAATGTAAGAAATAAAAAGTATTAGACAGAAATAAGAGTGTTTATTACCTAGGAGAAGAAATGTCTTCATAAGTATGATGTAAAAGTTATAAAAGAAAAGATTGACATGTCTGACCATTTAAGTATTGAAAACTTCACTATGGCCAGGGTAGGATATTTTTTCCAGGAATGCATGGTTGGTTTGATACCAGGAATGATATTAAATAAATTACCATGGTAACAAAATAAGGGAGAAAAAAAGGGCATAATATATTAGGAGTTGCTGAAAGAGCATTGATAAAATTCTAGACTTTCCTAATAATAACCCCGAGTAAAACAAAAATAGAAGTTGCTATTGTGATAAAGACTACTTATATAAAACTAATGTCTAAATAGTGAAGCATTAAAGCCATTTCCTTTAGAATCAGAAACAAAACAGGAATGTACATTATCATCATTATTATTCAACATTGTTTTAGAAGTTCTAGACTGCAGGCTGGGTATGGTGGCTCATGCCTATAATCCCAGCACTTTGGGAGGCTGAGGTGGGTGGGTCACCTGATTGGGAGTTCAAGACAAGCCTAACCAACATGGTGAAACCCTGTCTCTACTAAAAATACAAAAAATTAGCCAAGCATGGTGGCAGATGCCTGTAATCCCAGCTACTCGGGAGGCTGAGGCAGGAGAATTACGTGAACCCAAGAGACAGAAGTTGCAGTGAGCTGAGATCACGCCATTACACTCTAGACTGGATAACAAGAGTGAAACTCTGTCTTGGAGAAAAAAAAAAGTTCTAGACTGCAATAGACAAATGAAATATTTGGTATGAGTATGAAGAAGCAAAAGTAAAAAATTTTTCCTCTTCTAATACATAATTGTATACTTAGAAAACCCAGTAAGTTCTAATAAAAATAAATGAAATTAATAAGAGAGTTTGGGGGTGGTAGCTTTTTTTTTTTTAATTTTAAATTTAAAATCTTTAATTATATAATGGAACGCTTCACAGATTTGCATATCATCCTTGTGCAGGGGCCATGCTAATCTTCTCTATATTGTTCCAATTTTAGTACATGTGCTGCCGAAGCGAGCACTGGGGGTGGTCGATATAGGGCGAATATATAAAATTGGTTGTGTTACTCCATACTAGCAATTATCAGCTGGAAATGTAAATGGGGAAAAGTGTTCCATCCACAAGAGCAATTAAGTACATAAAATACCTGAGAATTATATTAAAAGGACAATTAACAGAAATAAGAGAGAGAAAACTATAAAATCTTATTGAGGGACATAAAAAATACCTAAACAAATAGAAAGGCAGTAGCCACAATCTTGCCTGAAAGGGTTTAATACACTTGGCTGCTAAAAGCTTATGTAAAGTAAAAAATAAAATAATAGGCTCAGTATAATAAATATGCAAATGTAATGCAATTCAAACTGGAGTCCCAATAGGATTTTTGTGGGAAGAGGGGGTTCTGGGTAAAGTAGCATAATAAATGCCTGAAAATAGCCAAGAAAGCTATAGAAAAGAAAAAGTAATGAAGAAGTTGTTGCCTTACTATCTGAAAAGCATACTGTAAAGTAATATCATGGAAACAGTGTGGCACTGGCCCAAGAATAGACAGAGACACTTGCAGGCTATGAATGGTAAGAAAAAAAAGAATAAACAAATGGATTCATGGAACATACTAGAAAGCCCAGTAAGAGACCTCTGAAAATATAGTCATTTGAGTATGACAAAGATAGTATTTCAAATGAGGAAGAGATATAATTGGTCGTGGCACAAATATTTTTACTCTTGAGGGATGAAACAGAAACCAGCCATTGGGAGTGGGTGGAAGGGGCCTTGGAGTGCTAGCGGGGGCACTTGGTCAGGCCTGGGGTGGGATTGGTCCTCAGCTCCGCCGTGTCTCGCCCAGGTGTCGCCACGGTGATGGCAGTAGAGGACAGTACACTGCAGGTGGTGGTGCGGGTGCGGCCCCCCACCCCTCGGGAGCTGGACAGTCAGCGGCGGCCGGTGGTGCAGGTGGTGGATGAACGGGTGCTGGTGTTTAACCCTGAGGAGCCTGACAGAGGGTTTCCTGGCCTGAAATGGGGCAGCACCCATGATGGCCCCAAGAAGAAGAGCAAAGACCTGACGTTTGTCTTTGACCGGGTCTTTGGTGAGGCGGCCAGCCAACAGGACGTGTTCCAGCACACCACACACAGCATCCTGGACAGCTTCCTCCAAGGCTACAACTGCTCAGGTGAGAATCTCAGCCCTGCCTGGCAGCAGCCTGGCCTCCCTGCCTCCTCCTAAGGGAAGGGTTTCATGTGGCTTCTGGCATGTGCCCACCTCCCCCCAGCTGGGCATGATTTACTGAGGAGTTTTGTACGATGTCCCATCATGCTCTGCGGGCCCCCCATTCATTCATTCAATCGTTATATGTGGGAGGCACTCTACTGGGCCCAGGGCTGCAACAGCAAATCAGACAGGATGGTCCCTGGAGGGGAGAAGATGCCACTCAGATCACACACACCCACAGTGTCTGGGGATAAACCAGGGTAAGTGGTGAGAGGGAGATGACAATGGGCCTTCAACACCGAAAGCAGCCTCGCCTGCAGAAGGAAGGCATAGCCCGCACCCATAGCAGAGATCCGGTCCTCCCAAATCCACTGGCCTAGCAGGGAGCAGAACAAACACAGAGAATGCCAACCCTACAGTGGGAACATGGAAGGTTGGATTAGTGGGAGTAGCGGAGCAGGGAACACAGGAGGCAAAGGAACAGCGCCTGTGGGAGGAGGGAAGGGCTGAGCTGGGTGGCCAGGCACTGGAGTCCTCCCAACTCTGTTCTCTGCAGTGTTTGCCTACGGGGCCACCGGGGCTGGGAAGACACACACCATGCTTGGAAGGGAGGAGGACCCCGGCATCATGTACCTGACCACTGTGGAACTGTACAAGCGCCTGGAGGCCCGCCAGCAGGAGAAGCACTTCGAGGTGCTCATCAGCTACCAGGAGGTCAGCTGCCCCTGCCCTACGCCTCATTCTCACAACTACCTGTGGGGAAGTGAGCCCATGGGGTGGAGTGAGCTGGTGTGGGACAGAGTGGCAGGAAATGGAGAGCTGGGGCCCCTCAAGGGGATAGATACAGCTCAGTGAGATGTTGCACTAGAGACACCCGCCCGCTCACCCTGCTGTGGTCATGTAACACAGTCCTGGGAAGTGCCACTCCTATGGGTGTCTCAGACACGCCCTGGCCTCAGCTCCCCCGTCCAGCTGCTAGGGAGAGGTTTCCTGATGGGCCGCTCTCCCTCAGGCCTCTTCCTTGCTTCCTTTCCCAGGTGTACAATGAGCAGATCCACGACCTCCTGGAGCCCAAGGGGCCCCTTGCCATCCGCGAGGACCCCGACAAGGGGGTGGTGGTGCAAGGACTTTCTTTCCACCAGGTGTGGGATTGGGTTGGGGTAGGATGATCGGCCCCATGGGTCCTTGGAGTACCCTCACAAAACCATTTGGGGATGCCCTGGGTCCTGTGGTGGTGGGGGCAGTGGTGGTGGTAGCAAGTGGGTGACTTGGGTTCTGAAGAGCAGCCCTTCCTGTTAGGGGAAAGGTCCTAGTCAGAGAACCCACAGCCCCGTTCCTGGGCCTCTCCTCTGTAGCCAGCCTCAGCCGAGCAGCTGCTGGAGATGCTGACCAGGGGGAACTGTAACCGCACGCAGCACCCCACCGATGCCAACGCAACTTCCTCCCGCTCCCATGCCATCTTCCAGGTGAGGAGCCATGGGTCAGAGCCTGAAGCCAGGGCTCCTGAAGCCCAGCTCTCCCTCACCTCTGCCATCTGCCTTCAGATCTTCGTGAAGCAGCAGGACCGGGTTCCAGGACTGACCCAGGCTATCCAGGTGGCCAAGATGAGCCTGATTGACCTGGCTGGCTCAGAGCGGGCATCCAGCACCCATGCGAAGGGGGAGCGGCTGCGGGAGGGTGCCAACATCAACCGCTCTCTGCTGGCGCTCATCAACGTCCTCAACGCCCTGGCCGATGCAAAGGTAAAGCAGCGCAGACCAGTGTTTTCCCCAGGATAGCAACCAAGCTCCTGAACCCAGGGCCAAAGGCCACAGGGCCCCATCCTGGGTCAGTGCCACAGCCGCCTGACCCCACACCCGCTCATTGACCCCCAGGGCCGCAAGACCCATGTGCCTTACAGGGACAGCAAACTAACCCGCCTGCTCAAAGACTCCCTTGGGGGCAACTGCCGCACAGTGATGATCGCTGCCATCAGCCCCTCCAGCCTGGCCTACGAGGACACGTACAACACCCTCAAGTATGCCGACCGGGCCAAAGAGATCAGGCTCTCGGTGCGTGCCAGGCAGGGCTGGCTCAGGTGTGGGGCAGCTCCAACCCTGGAGCGGGAAGGGTCGGGACCCAGGCAGCTCCCACAGATCCCTGGGCCAAGTGTCCTCAAGGCGGAAAAAAAGTTCTGGGCCAGGCGTGGTGACTCATGCCTTAATCTCAGTACTTTGGGAGGCTAAAGAGGGCGGATCACCTAGGTCAGAAGTTCGTGACCTGGCTGGGCAACATGGTAAAACCCTGCCTCTAGTAAAAATACAAATATTAGCTGGGCATGATGGTGGGTCCCTATGATCCCAGCTATTCCACAGGCTAAAGCAGAAGAATCACTTGAACCCAGGAGTTGGAGGTTGCACTGAGCTGAGATCTGAGATACCGCCACTGCACTCCAGTCTGGGTGACAGAACTCAACTCTGTCTCAAAAAGATGAGAAGTTTCTCTGTCTTCAGAGCTTTGTGATAGAAGTGACACAGTTCCCATCCCTGAGTAGGAAGCCACCAGCTGAGAGAGGCAAGATGGTCTCTAAAACCAAGGGCGACGGCAGGAGGGTGGCCTCTTATTGGCCAGTGATCTAGTTCAGACTTGTTTTTAGCAGCAGGAGCATATTTTCAGCAAAACATAAACACCAATATGTGCTTCTGCCACATCTGCTTGACCCCTCCCTCTGGCCCTCCCCCCAGTGAGCCCTGGCTCTCCTGGGACCCCTGCAAGAACACGCTAACCGTGGCAAGACGGTCTTAGTCATGGAGTCAGGGGTCTTCTGCCCCTTGCTGTGGTCTCAGGCACAATACTGGCCTTCTCTGCTGTGTTTCTCTACTTGTGAGGGTGGGTCATGGGGACGTGGGTGAGACCTAGTGCAGTGCCTGTCTGTTGGAGGTGGCTGATAAAAGCTGCTTTGAATGAACAAATAAATCTCTCTCCTGTGCCCCATCTCAGCTGAAGAGCAACGTGACCAGCCTGGACTGTCACATCAGCCAGTATGCTACCATCTGCCAACAGCTCCAGGCCGAGGTGAGGTGCCCGCCTTGGGGGCTGGCTGTGGGGGCAGAGAGCCAGAGGCAGGAGCTTGAGGGTGCAGCCGGGGCTCTGTCTGCCCCTCCCCTCCTGTGCTTAGCTGGGGCTCTCAGGGGCTGGGCTGCTTCTGTTCTAGGTAGCTGCTCTAAGGAAGAAGCTCAAAGTATATGAAGGGGGAGGCTGGCCCCCACAGGACCTCCCAGGAGCCCCCAGGTCGGAACCACCACCACAACAGTGAGTTCTACTACCCGTTCCTTCCCCCACCCTGCAGCTCAGCCAGGATGGGGAGCCAGTCCCCTTTCTCCAGTTTCTGGAGGGCTAGGGCTCCTTGCTTCTGCTCCAGTCCCTAGGGCTAAGGGTTTGTACCCAGTGCCTGCCCAGCAACTGATTGTCACCTAGAATGCTCTTGTGTCAAATGAGTAAATGGCACCCCAGCCCCTATGAGTGGGACCTACTGTTTGAGAGAAGGTGAACTTAGGAGTGTGTGTCATTGTCTCTCAAACCAGAAAATCCTGACTTTTCCTAGCCTCGGCTACTGCCCATTTGTCACCTAAGCATCTGTCCCTTATGGACTTTATATGACCTGGGTGCCACAGAGATCCCACCTGCTCCCTGCTCTCCCACCTGCCCCACATCCTGCCTCTCAAACGCTCCTTTCTCGCTTAGCCTTCCCAGCTCCCCCTTGCCACCCCACCATCCCAGCCAGCCCTGCACGCCAGAGCTCCCTGCATGGCCTGGAGCCCTTCAAGAGGAGAGTCTGGGGACAGAGGCCCAGGTGGAGAGGGCCATGGAAGGGACCTCTTCAGACCAGGAACAGTGCCCAAGGGACCAGGATGAAGGCCCAGCTGAGGAGGTAGGGCTTGTGGGTGTGAGGCCTGGGTATCGGCAGGGCTTGAAGCTGGTGGGATATTGGAAGAAATGGCTCTCCCAGACTCAGAGTCCCTTCAGTCCCATCTCTCTACGTGGATGTCTTGCACCTTAATCGTTAGGAGGCTTTCAGATCCTGTGCAGGAAAGAGAAATAGTCTATGGGATCCTTGTGTGTTTGGAAGTGACCAGGACCTGGTCATCCTAGGAGCTGTCATTTCCACTGTTGGAGGAGGGAAGCATTTTAGAAGCTGTTTATAAAGGTGGGGAGGCCATCCTAGTCCCTCTACCTGTGCCTTCTCCTTCCTCTTTAGGTTCCAACCCAGATGCCAGAGCAGAACCCCACACATGCACTGCCAGAGTCCTCTGGCCTGACCCTGCAGCCCAAGCCAGTCATGGGCCACCTCTCAGCACAGGAACTGGACAAGGACCGTTCTAAGCAGTAGGTATCTTCTTGCTGTACTCTGGAATCCAGGTGGGAAGCAATGGATTCAGCCTCCCTGGGGGTGGGAATTGGTGTTAAGCACAAAAGCTCTGTCTCTTCATCAGCACTGTCCTTTACCTGGTTTCACCTCCTTGATGTTATTATCACCTACTCGATTAACTTATCATCACCTCTACTTACTCCTCTACATAGCTGGACGCCCAGCAGCAGAGGGAAGCAAAACACGAGTCCATCCAGGCAGCCAGCGGGCTCCAGGTCAGGGCAGAGTGGCTGGGGTAGCGTTTTGCTTTCCAGTCTGAGGCCAGGCTGTCTGTCCACAGTCAGAAGGGGGCCGCCAAGGGAAGCTGAACGTCAGGCTGGGGCAGGGACAGCCTTCCTGAGCCAATGTTTATCATGTGTCTTCATCAACGGATTGACTGTGGCTATTTTTTCTCAGAAGTAAATACAAATCACGACTCAAAGCAAAAGAAAAGTGGATTTTGGACCATTCTTTCTATGCTTCATAGAAAGATGCTGCTAATATTTTTCTCCTTGGCCCCCAGTTCCTAAATCCCCTGCCACTTAGCTCTGCTACTGCCATCCTGCTCTTCCCTCCCCAACACGCTTCACGCTAGGCAGTGTATTTAAAGCTTCCGGACAGAAGGGCTTGTTTAATTTTATTTCTTGTTGGGGAGTGTCTGTTCCCGACTCAGCAAAAATACTGCAGTCTGAATAATCGGCTGCTCATTATCTGTCTCCTGCTATCGGGGCCTGCCTGAGGCCCTGGAGGGGCAAGGATGTGCTGGTGGGACATCCCCCTGATCTCCAGGGAACAGCTATGAGCTCCTACCGATGACCCAGGGTCCCTCTGCTAGCGGTCCCCTGTTATGAGGAGAGAGGACACCAGGGTCCTTATTTCTGCTCTGGCTTTGTGGTCTCCAACAAATTGCTTCAACCTTGGCCTTGAATTGGGGATCGTAGCCCCCAGTCTCCCTACTTCTTAGGGGTAAAGTACTAATAAAATGTGACAAATCTCCGTGTTTGGAAACATCCTAACAACCAGATAGTTGAAAATAATTTCCCTTTGATTTTAGAACTGAGAATCTTAGACCACTAGGGCACTGAGTAGATCTTAGATTTTCCGGTTCAGTCGTTTTTTCAGATTTTTTTTTTATTGTTTTTAGCTACAAAATTCTTTCTTCAAATGAAATCTTATGCTGAAGTCTAAGGCATAGAACAGACAAAACAGAGTTAAGATGGGTTTTTGAAACCTAATTGGAAAGTTCCTGATGTAGAGCAGCTCCCCATTTGTCTGATGGGGCACTGAGCCCTTTGCCCAGGCTTACATAGCAAGAGGGGCGGGGCCAGAGAGGGACAGGGCCAGAGCGGGACGGGGCCAGAGCCTGGGTCTGACATCCAGGCCTCAGCATTTCCCCCAAACGCCCACTCTTTGCAATTGTCTAATCTTCCCTGTGATGTGTGGCTCGTGCAGATATAGAATGAGTTTCTGCTGTGTCCGTTTTAATTTATATCCGAGGCTGCTTTATAAAATGATTTTATGTTCCCTGAGCACACCCTGACTGAGGGCAGTGGAGGGGGGTTCAGAGATGTCCAGGCCGGTAGAAAGAACTACCTGAGGATAAATCATTTTCCATGGATAATTCCCACTGAGATAATTGTGTTTATTCTTTTATCATAGGTGTGCCTTACAGAAAGAGAATGTGCTTTATTAGAATCTAAATTTACAATACCAATAATTGCATTACCCTCATAATTTCCTTTAAATATCCCCCCAGTGCCTGTGAAATATGCCTTGATTCACACAGATTTTTTCACGATCCCAATCACTAAATAGAAAGCATAGACTGGCCGGGCGCGGTGGCTCAAGCCTGTAATCCCAGCACTTTGGGAGGCCGAGGCGGGTGGATCACGAGGTCAAGAGATCGAGACCATCCTGGTCAACATGGTGAAACCCCGTCTCTACTAAAAATACAAAAAATCAGCTGGGCATGGTGGTGCATGCCTGTAGTCCCAGCTACTCAGGAGGCTGAGGCAGGAGAATTGCCTGAACCCAGGAGGCGGAGGTTGCGGTGAGCCGAGATCGCGCCATTGCACTCCAGCCTGGGTAACAAGAGCGAAACTCCGTCTCAAAAAAAAAAAAAAAAAAAAAAAAGAAAGCATAGACTGAATGTGTTTTTGAGGGCCTTCTTGGAACCACAATGAACACAGCCTATCTTACATAATCTCTTATCCTAACCAGCAAGAAGTTATTACTTCTGATTTACAGGAAACAATAGTTAGCTAGACCTACAATGCTTATTACATGCCTGGTATTCCATAAACATTTTGTATGTAAAATAACTCATTCAGCCTTTCAAATAACCGTATGAGGTGGGTGCATTTGTTATCCCCATTCTAAGGTTGTGGAGACTGAGGTTAAACAGTGCATACAAGACCATACAGCTGGCAGATGTTGGAGCCAGGATGTGAGTGGGAAGCTGTCAGTCTGACTTGAGCCAGGTTCTTTACTGCCCACTTGCACTGCCGTTAGGGTAGAGGAATTCATGATCACAGCGTTAGTAAGTGGCAGAGCCAAGAGGAGACTCAGACCTTCCGAGTCCAAGGCCACCTAGCGGCCTCTCCCTACTTCTCAGATCACTGTCTTTGTCATGGGACGTGTTTAACGGGAGACACCTCCCGCCATTACCTGTGGCCATCCTGGCTGGCCTTGGCCTTCAGCAAAGGCAGAGCAGAGCCGGAACCGTGGCTGGGAGGGTGTTGAGTCTGGCCAGCTCTTCTGAGGCAAGTCAGGAGGGAGCCAGGGGACCAGTTCCGGCTCCTCAACCACAGTTGGAGTGATGGGGACAGGTGCATGGCATAGAGGCTCCTGGTCAGGCTGGGTCTGTGTAGGGCTAGGAATCCCCTTCCTTCTGTTCCAGGTTGGCCCTAAAGATGCTGTGCCTGGCCCAGCGGCAATACTCCCTGCTCCAAGCAGCCAACCTCCTGACCCCCGACATGATCACAGAGTTTGAGACCCTACAGCAGCTGGCGCAAGAAGAAAACATTGAGCCCAGGGCAGAGGCCTCTAGGACTTCCGGCCCGGCCAGGGGGTTACCTCTGGCTCAAGAGCTGTGTTCAGAGTCAAGTGAGTCTCACCCTGCTCTGCCCTGCCTCTGGGTGCTGTCTCCAAGGCCCCACTGGGGCCAAGGGGTAACCAGGGGCCTCAGTTGCTGGGTTTTGCTGCCGTAGGAGGCTGGCCTCTGGGATCCAGACTTGTGCACACAGAGAGGCGCCAGGAGACCTGAGGGGTTATGGGCTTCTTCATGTCTCCAGTGTCTGGCTCCCCAAGTTCTACAAATTCTCCGTCCTTCTGTGCAGTCCCTGATCTTCCCTCAGCACCCTCCTCTTCTTTGCCCAGAGCCTTTGGGATATACTGGCCCTGTCACCCGGACCATGGCGAGGCAGCTGAGTGGCCCCCTACACACGCTGGGGATTGCACCTGGACCTAACTGCTCCCCAGCCCAGGGATCCCGATGGCCCATGGAGAAGAAGAAGAGGAGGAGACCACGCCCCTTGGAACCAGACAGTCCCACGGCCCTAAAGCGGGGCATCAAGCGCCAGCGCCAGTCCTTTCTGCCCTGCCTGAGGAGAGGGTCTCTGCCTGATGCTCAACCTTCACTGGGGCCCAGCACCCCCCAAGGAGAAAGGGCCTCCTCCCCCTGCCCTTCCCCTCGCTTCTGCCCAGCCACAGTCATCAAAAGCCGGGTGCCCCTGGGTCCTTCGGCCATGCAGAACTGTTCTACCCCTCTGGCCCTACCCACTCGAGACCTCAATGCCACCTTCGATCTCTCCGAGGAGCCTCCCTCAAAGCCCAGTTTCCATGAGTGTATTGGCTGGGACAGAGTCCCCCAGGAGCTGAACAGGCTAGACCAGCCCTTCATCCCCAGGTGGGTCTCCCAGTCTCATTCCCACCCCTCCTGTCAGGGGGTTAGTGGTCAGCAACGGACTTCTTGGTGCTGCCAAGAAGTATGGAGGGCAGCCTGACTCTTGGAGCTGGGACGGTTCCTATCTGTTCCCCTTTGGTTGTGATCCACTTTGCCCCCCAGGCCCAGGAGAGCAGGACATACAGTTACCAGGAGGCATGACTTCTCTTGGGGCCCTTGCCTGGTCTGTCCATGCTGCAAAGCCACCTGCTCTGTGCTGATTTGTGGCATGCTCATGAGTAGCTAACGGGACCCCAACTTGGAAAGAGTCAGCAGAGAACAAGAATGAAAGAGGGGAGCCCACCCCTACTGTTCGTCTCTTTACTTGGGCTCTTTAACCCCAGCTGCATTATGTGTTCCACTGGGAAATACCTCTTTCTGCCACTTCTACTACAGATTCTGGCCTCCAACTCAGCATCTGGAACAGGAAAGAGGGTCCTCAGAAAACTCAGTTCAGTATTTTCTAGTGAGAAGATGAAGCTCTCACTTCCCCTTCCCACACACATGGCAGGGTAGGGGAATGGCAGCCAGCTCAGGACAGTCCAAGGCCAAGAACCAGTGGCAGACTGATCTGCACCTGCGGGGCAGAGGCCGGCAGGCTGCCCGCCTGTGCCTCCCTCCCCTTCTACAGACCAAGAAGCAGCTCTCAGTAACAACCACGGAGCCGGGCAGGTGGAAGGGTGAAATTGTTTGAACTCCAGTTCCCTGGGTGCACCAGAAACTGACATCTGGATGTCCTCCCAGAGCAGGCCTGTCACTCAGCTGTCAGCCAGGCCGAGTGAGGCAGGGAGAAGAATGCACCTCTTTGTAGAAGAAACCTCAGAGGTCATCTTGTCCAGCCACCCTCCTCCACACCCGAGCTGGGGGCTGAAGGGAGGAAGCGGCTGGCCCCACTTCTGGTTCCCAGCTGATCAGCCTCTTTCCCCTTCCTCCCTTCTCAGGGGACCCATGCTCCTGTTCACCACGAAGGGCCCCAAACCAACATCTTCCCTCCCTGGATCCTCTGCCTGCAAGAAGAGGCATGTTGTGAGGTGAGGTTTGGGAGGTGTCGGCTGTTGGGGGCAAGGAGCTCTCACCAGGGCATTGGACATCTGGGTTGACTCTGGGCCCCCAGTGTCTCTGTCTCTGGATCCCTGGGGCAAGCAGCCGAGGTCCTGTGAGCAGGGCCAGCATCTAGTTCTCCAATTGAGGTTTCCTTGGCCCTTGCTATCCCAGGATCACCCCAGAGCTGATTCATGAAGGAGGCGCTTAGCACCCATTGATCCATTGATCCATGAGGGATGCAGTGCACACCATTCATCCAGTGAAGGGACTCTCCACCCTCCCCACTACTTCCCTCCCATGGTCCCAGCCCCATGGACTGCGTCTTCCGCCCTCAGATCCTGTCCTGGAAGCTCCCACTGGTGCCCAGCATCCTTTAATCTCAGGGCTTAGTGTCAAGTACTTACACCCCCAGCTCAATGCACACCCATAGACCAGAGACAGCTGTAACCTTCCACCTTCCTTTCTTTCCTCAGTTCCTCCATCTCCCATGGCCGCAGCCGCATCGCCCGCCTCCCCAGCAGCACCTTGAAGAGGCCAGCTGGACCCCTTGCACACAGGTGACTGGCACTAGGGACAGGGATAGCCTAGGCCATGGAGGCCAATGAAGACAGGAAGCAGGAGGAGACAGGGTGGGCTGGGACCCAGAAGAAAGGAGGGCCTGGGTATTGCCAAGCATCTCAGGGACACTGCTGCTGAGAGGTGGAAGGTAGGCTGGAGGACAGAGGGACAGAGCCTCACTTTCCCTCCTCCCTGCACTCCCGGCCACCCATCCCACCAGCCTGCAGAGCTGCCCTTGAGTCCCCGGTACCCTAGCAACCAGAGAAGTGGAAAGGACCTCGTCAGGGTGGGGAGAGTGCTGTCAGCGGGGAGCGGTGTCACCAAGGTGTCCTGACACCCCCCCAGCCCCACTATGCTGGATACCCCTCTTGGACCTGGAACCACCTGCACCAGGAGCCCAGACCTGCTTTCCTTACCTGGGAGCAATTAGTGCCAACACACCTTCGCTGTATTACCATCCCTCCCCAGCCACCCATCCTGCCACTCACCCCCTGTTAATCCCCTGTTATACTCAGCTTCTTGCCGTGTACATATTCATTTGTGAGTGTTAACATGTTGCTGTTTTTTTGGGTTTTTGTTTTTGTTTTCAGATTGTGTTTCACTCTGTCACCTAGGCTAGAGTATAGTGGTGCAATCTCGGCTCACTGCAACCTCCGCCTCCTGGGTTCAAGTAATTCTCCTGCCTCAGCCTCCCAAGTAGCTGGGATTACAGGTGCCTGCCACCACACCCAGCTAATTTTCAAATTTTTAGTAGAAACAGCAGTTTCACCATGTTGGCCAGGCTGGTCTTGAACTCCTGACCTCAGGTGATCTGCCCAAAGTGCTGAGATTACAGGTGTGAGCCACCGTGCCCAGCCCATGTTGCTGTTTTTTTTTTTTTTTTTTTTGAGACGGAGTTTTGCTCTTGTTACCCAGGCTGGAGTGCAATGGCGCGATCTCGGCTCACCACAACCTCCGCCTCCTGGGTTCAGGCAATTCTCCTGCCTCAGCCTCCTGAGTAGCTGGGATTACAGGCATGCGCCACCATGCCCAGCTAATTTTTTGTAGTTTTAGTAGAGACGGGGTTTCACCGTGTTGACCAGGATTGTCTCGATCTCTTGACCTCGTGATCCACTCGCCTCGGCCTCCCAAAGTGCTGGGATTACAGGCTTGAGCCACCGCGCCCGGCCCATGTTGCTGTTTTAAAGGTGTTGCCATGTTCCCTCCCTCATTTTTTATTTTAATTTTATTTTTTATTTTTTGAGACGGAGTCTCACTCTGTCGCCGAGGTTTGAGTGCAGTGGCATGATCTCAGCTCACTGTAACCTCCACTTCCCGGGTTCAAGCAATTCTCCTGCCTCAGCCTGCTAAGTAGTTGGGACTAAAGGTGTGTGCCACCACACCCGGCTATTTTATTTTATTTTTGTATTTTTAATAGAGATAGGTTTTCATTGTGTTAGCAAGGATGGTCTGGATCTCCTGACCTCGTGATCCTCCTGCCTTTGCCTCCCAAAGTGCTGGGATTACAGGTGTGAGCCACCACGCCCAGCCTCCCCCTTCATTTATGATGCCTCCATGCAGGCAGATGGCTTTTGGGCTCTCTTCCACACCTATCTCTAACACAGACCCCACACTGATGGCCACGGGCAGTGGAGGAGGAATAAGGATGAGTTGGGGAGTGGGGAGTCTCAGGTTGGCTCTTCCTGGTTTCTGAGAGAGAGACATCTTCATCCCTACTCCCCTGAGCCCCCAGCTACAGTCCTGGTGAAGATGTGGATGATAATGGTGCCTTGATTTCCAAAAGAAGACAGCTTTATTGTTTCACTCTATTGTAAATAGGATATACATTCAGTGTAAAATAAAATGCAAAGAAAGGGGAATTCAGCCTTAATGCTGCACCTAGATATAAATGCTAATGATACTTGGGTTTATGGCCTTCTGATCCTTTATTTCTGCATACACACACACACACGTGCGCGCGCGCGGGTATATTTTTGGTATAACAATAAACTGTCTCCATCCTTGGTGTGTGTGTCTCTCTGTGCACCTAGATAGGATAGCAGCACCTTTCCTTTCTCACCTCCCTGCTCTTAAAACCTCAGGAAACTTCTGAGTATATAGAGACAGCAGTTCCCACTCTGCCTCCTCCTGGAGCCTGGGGTCTGGGCCTAGGCCTGAGCCCTGCTCTTCACTCCACAGCCCAATCTGCCCTGAAGGGCTTCCTCTTCTCCAAGGTTTGGGAGTAATTGCACCTGGAGGTCTGTTCCAGCCTTCTGCAGCCTTAGGGCTGAGGTGCTAGTGTTCCTCAAGTCTTAGGTGAGGCTCCAAGCTAAGCCCCCACAGGCTGAGTCCAGTGTAGTCGGCTCTGCCACCACCCCTCCACCTAGTCGGTGGCTTCATCTCCACTCCTTTGGATTGTGTGACAGTGCCACATAAGTTTCCCTTCACTCTTCCCATGAAGATATGATTGGCTGAATGAATTAATAGTGTAAACAAAATTACAGCAGTCTGTGTTTAACCTGATTCTGAAAACAAACACGTTAAAGGTATTTAGCGCATTGTGAGTAGCATGTAAATAATGCTGCTAATTTCAAGTGAGTACTGGCTGTTTGGGGGGAGCAGCCTCTACCGGGTCAACCCCTCAGCTCTGAGCCCTTTTGGTTTTTGTTTGGTTTGGTTTTGAGATGAAGTCTCACTGTGATACCCAGGCAATAGCACGATACCCGTGCAATAGCACGATCTTGGCTCACTGCAAGCTCTGCTTCCCAGGTTCAAGTGATTCTCCTGCCTCAGCCTCCTGAGCAGCTGGGATGACAGGTGCATGCCACCACGCCCAGCTAGTTTTTGTATTTTTAGTAGCGACGAGGGTTTTACCATATTGGCCAGGCTGGTCTCAAACTCCTGACCTCAAGTGATCCACCCGCCTCAGCCTCCCAAAGTGCTGGGATTACAGGCATGAGCCACCGGGCCCGGCCCCTGAACCCTTTTTGGAGCAGAGGAGAGAACACAGCCAGGAGCATCACTGAGCTGCACCACCTCATAGGGAAGATGACAGGCTCCGAAAGGGTCACAAAACTTGTCCAGGGTTAGACACAAGTGTTCTGGATCTGAGGTCTGCTTCTCTGCATCACACCAAGCTCCTTCCCTCCGGAAGTGAACCATGTCTGTTCACTTCCCTGTGGAAGTGAAGAGGACAGACATTTCATGTGCTTCAGGTTCCCTCCTTTCCAATTACTCTTAATGAGATTTTCCCCTATTATGTACCGTGATTTCCGAAGAAGCAGTCACAGGTTCACATAATCCTAACCCCCAGCGGCCTGGCATGGTGCCTCGACCTCAGGAGGCCTCTCTGAGTGTTGGTTGGATTCAAATTGAATAACATCCCCCATTTCCTGGGGTCTTCACATATATTATCTTACTTGATCATCACCATCACCCTGCAAGTGCAGAGGTAGCAAGCACAGGGCAAGGCAGCTGGTAACGGCCAGGAGGGCAGCCTTCACCCAACAGGGCCTGTTGCACGAGGCAGAATTTTGCCTGGGCCAAGGATGGCTCAAGTGGAATAGGTCACTCTTGATAAGCATGTTCTACAGCTGGTCATTCACTCAGTAAACATTTGTGGCTCTGTGGTGCAAAATGTGCTCCCAGGTGACCCATTAAATGCACAAAGACTCTGTGCCGATGGAGTCAAGCACATGAGGCTCCTGCCCTCAATCACAGGAGGTCGGGCTGAGAGCGCTTGCTCTTGGTGTGGCGTCTCCATGCCGGGAGGCAGTCTGGCCGGTCTGAGCTTTGAGCTTCGCGGGGAGCTGGCAGGAGCTCCAGGGGGCAGCGAGCTGACAGCCAGCTCCCAGCTGACCTCTGTGGGTGGTGATGAGACTCAGATTGGATTGTTCTTATATAAAGGGAGTCATCCATGAGACGTGGTGATCGATGGCTCCCCATCCGCTGAGGGCCCAGCCTGGTCTCACGCCCCCTCTCCCTGCCTCAGCCTGCCTCTTCCACCCTGAAGGCCTGGCAGAGCCTCTCACTCCCCCTCTGAGTTGAGAAATCCTCCTGTGCCAGGACTTCTACGCCCACCTCCTTGCTTGACTCGGTCCCCACAGCTTGTGACTGGGTCCCCAGCCTGGGGTACAAATCCTGCTCAGTTCAGAGAACCGGGCTCAGTGCCAAAGGCTGAAACAGAACAAGATATGGTCCCTCCATGCAGGGAATCAGGATGGTACCTGTCCCTATTACCTGAGTCTAAGCCAAAATCTCCATCAGTGTTGGTATCTGCCAAGGAGAAGGGATTAGGTTTTCTCTCTGGGTCCCCCTTACAGTACCAGGCCATCAGCTTGGCCCACAAAGGAGATTTTCTCACCACCTGGGAGCCTCCTTGGTGGCTACTAACTCAGGAGTCCTGCCTCCCAGAGCCCCAGATTCCCCCAGGAATGTCCCCTTGGCTCTTGGTCATGTCTGGGAGATCCCGGCTCCCAGCCAGAATTTGGTTCATGGTCATCTTCCTTTCTTCCGTGGTTCTTTTGTGAAGAAGGATTCAGGACGGCTTGAGATAAAGAATCACCCCAGGGGCCAGAGATGCCAGCTGTGTTTTCCAGCTCATCCCGAGGGCTTCCGAAGCTCACATGCAGCCCTCCTGCCTCCATTCTCTGGCTTGTCCTCTCCATTTGGAGGACTGCTGGGTTGGAAATAACAGGCCACCCGCAAGCCCTCTCCTCCCACCAGGGCCACATCTGCTCCCTGCCTTTCACCCTCCAGAGGCAGCCAATCAGGGTGACAGAGGGGAGCAGGGAGCAGAGCAGATCAGGGAAAGCAATTAAAAAGCTGCTCCCAGGTTTAGAGGCTGGAAGGTAGCGGGCAGGCTGCAGCAGGTCCTGGCTGGGGTGGGGAGAAGCAAGGGAGAACGGCCGGAGCTTATTAACCCCAGCGCAGCAGCCTGGGGTCTGTGAAGGTGAGTGAACCGATGCTGATAAAGCCAGCAAAAAGCAAAGGGAAGGGGCCCAGGGTTCAGCCAGGAACCATTCTGCAGCCACAGGAATCAGTTCTAGACAGCAGAGCCTGGCTGGGCACAGGCTGAGGATCGGGGGAAGGAATGGGCCCTACTCTGAGGCAGCCCCCTCTCCAAGGAACAGGAGACAGCCCCTGCCCTCAAGGAGCTCCCTTCTGACAATGAACCATGGGTTCTAGCATTGGGGAGCTGACCATCCAAGGGAAGAGGAGACTCCTGTCCTGTGGATGCTTTAGCCTAGAGTTGGGAGAAATACTCTCCTTGGAGAGACTCCAGTTTGCTGGGAAGACATAGGTCCTAGCATTCAGAAGTCCCCATCTGCTGGGGGAAAGGCATGGCCCTTCTTGTAAAACTTTAGGCTGAGATGCAGATGAGACCCACACCTGAGAGGAGGACACACAGAGGTTTTTGTGTTTTTTTTTTTTTTTTCGAGACGGAATTTAGCTCTTGTTGCCCAGGCTGGAGTGCAATGGCACTATCTCGGCTCACTGCATCCCCTGCCTCCCCGGTTCAAGTGATTCTCCTGCCTCAGCCTCCCTAGTAGCTGGGATTACAGACATGCACCGCCATGCCTGGCTACTTGTTTTGTACTTTTAGTAGAAATGGGTTTTCACCATGTTAGCCAGGCTAGTCTCAAACTCTCAAACTCAAGTGATCCACCCTCCTCAGCCTCCCAAAATTCTGGGATTACAGGTGTGAGCCACCGCACCCGGCCAAGAGCTTTTCAAACTGGATAGGTTTGTGGAGGCTCAAGTCTAGGGATAGGGAGGGGTGAGGATGGAGAAAACAGCACCCACTGGGGGAGCCAGGGAGGCAAGAAAGCAGGTAGAAGGCAGTCTCTACTCTGAGTCTCCAGGCCTGGAGGAGATAAGTTGCCTGTGTCCCCTGGGAGATGAAGCCACCAACAACTTGTGGTCTGGAGGTAGACAGTGCTGGCTCTCACCTGTGCTTCAACAGCTGCTGCCCTCTGTCCCATCCACACTGCCAAGTAATTGCCCTTGGGGGAGGGGTGTCCATATACACCCAACAGAGTTAATAGGACATAGGGGCCCCTTCAGAGGACCCAGCTCCCGCCCCTCTGACAACCGCATCCAGATCCACTAACATGTCAATAGGCGAAGCCCCTGGTAGGTGTTATGTAACGGCAGCTGCAATTTGTCAAGCACCTGCTGTGTCCAGCTTTCACTGATTTCATTCTTACAGCTACCTGGGGAGCAGGCATGGCTGAATCCCCATTTTACAGAGGTGGAAATGGAGACTCAGGGAAGGTTCTCAAAGCCATTGAAGACTGCACAGCTACTGAGTGGCCAAGGCTTTGCTCTCTCTCTTTGGGGACAGTGCTATCACAGTCAGAGTCAAGTCTAGAGAATAAAGGGGGTGATGCCTCTGGGTGAAACAAATTTGGGTTTTAGAAAACCCCTACAGGACCGGCTTGGAGTCCCTTTAAACTGCTGTGGCTGTGGCTGTGGCTACTCGCACCTGTGGCTAGCTGAGCACCGCCATCTAGTGGCCACCAGGCTCAGTTCCCTTCCTCTGGGACCAGCCACGGATGAACAAACTTGCCGGTCACCAAGGCCCAGCCAGAGAGACTGTGTTCTCTTCACCCAGCTTGCTGACCACCATGCCGTGGCAGGCACTGGGCCAGGGCCAGGGGCCCAATCGGAGCCAGTGGGCAGTAGTCACGTGGCAAAACTGCTGCTTGAATTAGAGGCTGGCCTATTTGGCAAACACCAGGCACCTTGTGTGTGTTTTGAGGCCACATGCGGGGTTGGTCTGTCCCAGGAGGCATCTGGGCTTTACCCTGTACGCAGAAGCTCATCTAGCAGATTCCGATGTGAGGGAGGGGCACGAGGAGGTCATCTTTTCCCCACCTCAGCTTGAAGCAGACACAGCTTGACTGTAGGCTCCTTGAAAGGGCACCCAGGCATCTCTCTCCACAGCTGGTACTATTCTGCTATGCAATCTAGAAGTCAGTCTAGGGTTTGGCCTGAGGTTTCAGATGTTGGGGCCTTCCATTTGGGGAAGCAGGAGAGGAGGCACCCTAGAGAATGGAGCCTGAGCCAGGCCAGGAGGATGGGGTTTGG